CGCGGGGTGCGGGGCGCGGGGGCCTGGGTGGTTCGGTCCCACGTCCAGCTCGGGGATGGGTCCCGACTCGCAGCCCTTTGTCTTAGGGGGCCTCCCTACGAAGTTCCCTCCTGCACACACACCCATTGCTCCGATTGCGGTTAGGGAAGGAAGAGATGCCGAGTCCGGCGTCCCGGAGTGGCACCGCCTGGCCTTTCAGCCCCTTCCCTCCAGCAGTTGGCGTTGCACACCCCGAGAAAGGCTGGGGTTCTCCGGGCTGACGGCGGCAGGTGGTGGCCCCAGCCGCGCCGCGGAGCCACCGAGGGTGGCGGAATGCGGAAAACGGGGGATCGCTCTTCACTTGTCCAGGGTGATGCGCCTTCCCTGCGCCCCACTCTCCTGTGGGAGCATCCGGCGGAACCTGAATAGTGATGGGTCTCCACCCCGTTTGCTATATATACTGTTTAAGGTTAAGCTTAAGGTCATTTTTCTATTAGTGCTTATTCAAATAGAAGGATATGTGTGTGTGTGTGTTTGGTTGGGTTAAGAATGTGAAAATGTGTTTCATTTTCACGTAACGCGTTTAAAAAACATACCATATGAAGCATTTGTTAACCGTGGGTAACTTAGCAAGTTACCAAGTAAGTCTAGAGTGTTATCATACAGGGATGCTTCAGTCCATCTAAACTCAAATGTTGCCTTGCAATGCTTATCAAGTTTATTAAAATTTATTACAGAGTGAGTGTATAAAACTGGGGAAAGCATGCAGTTTTAACAAAAAGCCTCCACGGTCATTAAGATACAGTATAGTTAGTGGTATACTTTTGTTTCTTTTTAGCTCAAGTTGGGTGATTCATCATTCCTGCAGCCAGTAACGCAGCTTGTGTTTTTTTCTCTTGTGTAAGCTGGTGATTGTGTCACATCCCAAAGTTTTCCGATAAGGACTTCATGAATGGTGACATGTGTTGTGTACAACCACTGTGCTCACCTCCTCCTTCGTGGCTCAGCGTCACCTATAGAAGATGGTGACCGGAAATGAGCAGAACTGGGATTTGTGATCTCTAGTGCCTCTTTTTAAAAACGAAAGGTAATAGCGTAGATCACAGGATACTAAATGGAAGAACAATATTTCCAATTTTTCTGATAATGGGGATTTTTCTATAAAGTAGAGAAAACCAGTTCTGACCTGCACCGCTTCTGGCTACTTGTTTGTGTTGGGAGAGAGGGAGTAGAAACCAGTCAGTGGCTTAACCTCTCAGTCTAGGTGTTCTCACCTAGAACACCAGGGATTTTGACAATGTGACTGTGAAGCCTACAAATCTTGAAAACCTCATCTCTGGGTGTCAAGTATTGAAACTTACATTGCTGTAAAATTGGTGGCGCTTATTGTAGGTAAGGTCTATTCTAGTTTTAACATCCATAGTTTGGTATTATTTTCAAAATGAAGCTAATTTCAACTCTGCTATGAAATTTAGGAAGAGTTTGCTTGTCAGTTTACTCTGGTACTGCAATAAAATTAGATAATCTCCACTTTCTCTTTTGAGTCAATGGTAAAATTATTTGTCTCTGTAACTTAATGAATTAGAGCTTTGCCAACAACTACTTGCCAGTAGTAAAAAAGTAGGGATGTGTGCATTGTTACCACTAAAAATCTACTAATATGGTGTTCTTATTACCTGTATTTTGTCGTAATTTTTGACTGGACATTTATTTCAGTGCCGGGAAATTAATAGTGAGCAGATTAATGAAGTTGAGCTTTAGACATTTAGATGTCAATATTGTAAAAACAGGAATAAACTATTTTTCTTCTGCTAAATGATGTGGTTGTGTTATCAATAGGGTCACTTTTCAAAATATTTACTATTAAATCTAATGCCAGATACTTGCTGGTCTTTTTGGTTCTCTATTAAATTGGATATATGTAAGTTAGATATATCTTGGATGCTTTATTTTACTTTCAAAAGATGCAGAACACAATCCTATATTCTTTCCACATAAATTCTGGAAGGGAGATTTGGGGGATTTCAGAATTTGCCATGCTGATGAAACTTAAACTGAACAATACCTCTTTTTTTCTGAAACCCCTTTAGAACACCTTTCTCAGTTTAAGCTTAGATCGTTTGAGTGCACAGTGATTGCATACTGCCCAACTTGAAAAACCAGAATTTGCATTTAGATATGTGTTTAGATAAAATAGAGTACAAACTTTAGTATTCTAGATGCTGTTCTATGCATCTTTTTTTTTACTTTATTATAATTGTTGACATTATTACGTATGTCCCCATTTATCCCTCTTTGCCCACCTCCACCCAGCCCCTACCCTCCCGTCCCTCTCACCATCACCACACTGTTGTCTGTGCACCTTCTTTCATCCACTTCCCCCCTCCCCTCCCTTCTGACAAGTGTCAGTCTGTTCCATGTATCCATGCCTCTGTTTCTATTTTGTTCCTCAGTTCATTAGATGGCACACATAACTGAGATTACATGGTATTTGTCTTTCTCTGACTGGCTTATTTTACTTAGCATAAGAATTTCCAGGTTCATGCTATCACAAAAAGTAAAAATTCCGTCTTTTTTTATGGCCGCATAGTATTTCATTGTGTAAATGTACCACAGCTTTTCGATCCACTAATCTACTGATAAGCACTTGGGCTGTGTCCAGATCTTGGCTATTGTAAATAACGCTGCTATGAACAAAGGGGTGCGTATATTTTTCCGAATTGGTGTTTCAGGGTTCGTAGGCTATATTCCCAGAAGTGAGATCACTGGGTCAAAATGCCTTTTTAAGTTTTTGAGGAAATGTCATTCTGTTTTTCCACAGTGGCTGTACCAGTTTGCATTCCCACCCACAGTGCCTGAGAATTCCCTTTTCTGCACATCCTCACCAACATTTGTTGTTTGTTTGTTGTTTCATTGATGGTAGCCATTCTGGCAGGTGTGAGGTGATTTCTCATTGTGGTTTTAATTTGCATCTCTCTGATGATTAGTGACATTGAGCATTTTTTTCATATGTCTATTGAGCATCTGTATGCCCTCTTTGGAGAAATGTCTATTCTTTTTCCATTGCCCATTTTTTAGTTGGATTGTTTGTCTTCCTGGTGTTGAGATGTATGCATCACTTTAAAAAAAGTTTTAACATTCCTTTGAAGGAGTTACTCTTTTCCACTGAAAAGAGGAAACTGAGGTTCAAGTGGAGTGATTTTCCTGAGCCTTACAACTGGTAAATGCCAGATCCAGGCAAGTTAAAACACTGAAGAAATACGTTGCTGATGCTTGTCTTAAAGAAGAGATTGGCACCAATCCCTTTTTTCCCTGTTAACTGTTTCCCAGATACTAAACTATGTCTTTAGGACTTGGAAGAGTTGCCATTACTGTCTTTTAGTATAAAAGGGCATGTGATCAGTGGTTGGTTTGTTTATCAAATATTGAATATTTTTGAGCACCACTTTTGTGTCAGGAATTATTGTAAATGGTGGACACAAGGCAGGGAACAAAACAGAAAAACCACCTGCCTTTATGGAGCATTCATTCTTGATTGGGGAGACAGAAAATAAGCTAACTCCATCTCTATAGATAAAATACTAGCACTGAACATTTACTGATTTATGCAGGGGTAGGTTCCAAATGCTGTACGCAGATTAGTTGATTTAGTCTTCACTTTATTGATTTACTCTTCACAACAACCCTGTGAGGTAGGTATTCTCCCCATTTCATAGGGACAAAGAAACATTAGGTAACTTGTTTGCTTAAGGTACTACAATTAAAAGTGATAGACCTGGAATTTTACGTCCAGTGCCCGAGTTAGTGCTCAAAAAACTTTCTTTGTAGAAGAAAGATTCATGTTAGATAAAGGGAAAAACTTCCTGACACTAACGTGAACTATAAAAAAATTTGTGAAATTTTCCCATTGATAACTTTGTATCATTCTTCCGATTGGTTCTTAGAAAAGAAATACGTAGTAAATGAGTTCTGGAGAAGCTGCTTGTGCTGCCGGAGCCTGGTTCTGGGAAAGCCACCTCTGCTTCTGTTTTGTTTGTTTGTTTTTAATTGTATGGGAGTTCAAACAGTATAGAAGAGTAAATGTAGAAACTGAGTAGCCCAAGGGGTGGACTGTGCTAATTATTAAAAAATTTAGCTCCAGCCCTGGCCTGTGTGGCTTGATTGGAGCATCGTCCTATGCACCGAAGGGTTGAGGGTTCCATTCCCCCGGCAGGACACACACCCAGGTTGTGGGTTCAATCCCTGGTCAGGGCACATACGGAAGGCAGCCAATTGATGTTTCTATCTCTCCCTCTCCCTTTCTCTCACTAGAATCAATGAAGAGCATATCCTTGGGTGAAGATTTAAAAAAAAAAATTAGCTCCAAATTCACCCTTTGTGCTTGCTCTGTGGATATGCTGGAGAAAGGGTTTTTCTTCCTGGGTAAAGAAAGGGTACTCTTAGCAGGATCTGTCCTGCTCTTGTGGTGTGAGCACCTCCAGTGGCTGGTTCTTGCACTGCACAGTGGTCAGCTGCAGCCAGCAGCTTGCCATAGCACCCACTTCAGTTGATTTCAGAATGGAGACCCTGCAGCAAAATAACTTCTCAGGGAATAGCAACCTGGAGGGGGAGGATTTTCAGCAAGATCCATTGGCAAGTCTGCACAACTACTTCTGACATTCATTATCCATAGCCAGGCCCTCTAGCAAAGTATACATCTCAGTCCTGGGGAAGTGGAGGAAACTCTGGGCCAGCCCTAGGGGTAGTTAGTGCTCCATATATTTGTCATTTTTATAATCTTTAGAGTTATTTCTTATTAGCCAATCCTTTACTCCAACCCCCTGTAATAGTTATTTTCTTTAAATTAAACTTTGCTATTTCAGATTGTTATGTGATTTGTTTTCTGATTGGATCTCTACTTTTGCAATGCATAATCATTGCTTTTCATTCAGCAGCTTCTTAGTGCAAAAGAGATGTTGTCCCCGCCCCCCCCCCCCATAAACTTTACTACCATTGCTGTAAATAGCAAGTTTATCTTTAAATGTTTTTATTGATGATACTTTTCGATTTAAAAATGGAATTTTTAATACATAGTGACGTCATCAGTTAGCTCCCTTCTAATCTTTGTAGCTTCTAGATTTATTTATTTATTTATTCATACTGTATTAAGCACATGCTTTATTCCAGACTGTGCAGTGGCCAGAGAGAACTGTAGTGAACGTGATAGAAACGGATTTTTTGCTGAATGTGAGATAGAATCAATAGGGCTTAGTGAGTTTGGGTATGAGGTGAGAATGAAGTCTCAGGATGACTCAATTTATCTGCCTTAGTATTTGTGTTTTCTGGCTTTGATATGATTCAGAGAATAGAAGGCCTCCGGGTAACAGTACTTCTTTTTTCTTAATTTACTGTCTGGTAGTTGGATGGCTATATATTGACTCTTAGAAACTGGCAATAAATGGAACTCTAGGCTGCCTGGGTGTATGAAAAGGAAGTCAGTGAAACTAGAAGCATTTTCATGAAAAACAAAACAGAAAAAACAGTCAAGTACTGATTAGGAAACTAAAACCTAAATGATAACTCAAAATTCTATCTAAATATTGTAACAGTGTGTAGTTGTTTTGGCTTATATGAGTTACTGCAAGAGTGCTGTGGCATAGATAGTCTAAAAGAGAAATTATACTAAGCAATAAACTTGTAAATGAATCATATGCATCAAAGAATTGGAATAGCCAAAAAGTTATTATATTTGCCTACCATAACATCTCTTAATATGCATATTGTATTTTAGGTTCATTTGTCTTGAAGTGCATTATAATGCTTTTTGGCTGCAAATTTATGTTTTGCGTAGAATGCTGCTCCATCTTGGTAATAAGAGGAATAGGCTGGAGCGGTGACAAAGCCTAAGGATGCTCAAAAGAAGCTTTGATTTAGTACAAGCATACCTCATTTTATTGCGCTTCACATATTCTGTGTTTTTTACAGATAGAAGGTTTGTGACAACCCTGCATCAAATAACTATTGGTGCCATTTTTCCAACACCATTTTCTCACTTTGTGTGTCACATTTTGGTGATTCCCGCAATATTTCACTTTTTATTATTATATTTGTTATGATGATCTATGAGCAGTGAGTTTTGACATTACTTACTATTGTCATTATTTTGGGGCACAGTGAACAGCGCCATCCATATAAGACCACGAACTTAATAAATGTGTGTGTTCTGACTGCTCCACCAACTGGCGATTCCCTCATCTCTGTTTCCTCTGGCCTCCCTAGTCCCTGAGTAACAGTATTGAAATTAGTAATAATCCTACAATAGCCTCTAAGTGTTCAAGTGAAAGGAAGGATTGCACATTTCTCAGTTTAAATCAAAAGCTAGAAATTCAGCTTAGTGAGGAATGCTCGTCGGAAGCCTTGATAGGCCAAAAGGTAGGCCTCTTGCACCAAACGATTAGCCAAATTGTGAATATAAAGGAAACTTGAAGGAAATTAAAAGTGCTACTTCAGTGAACACATGAATAGTAAGAAAGGGAAATGGACTTATTGCTGATATGGAAAAAGTTTTAGTAGTTTCCATAAACCAGCCACCACATTCCCTTAAGCCAGTGGTTCTCAACCTTCTGGCCCTTTAAAACAGTTCCTCATGTTGTACCCCCAACCATAAAATTATTTTCGTTGCTACTTCATAACTAATTTTGCTCCTGATATGAATCGTAATGTAAATATCTGATATGCAGGATGGTCTTAGGCGACCCCTGTGAAAGGGTCGTTCGACCGCCAAAAGGGTCTCGACCCACAGGTTGAGAACCGCTGCCTTAAGCCATAAGCCTAATTCAGAGCAAAGACCTAACTCCCTTGAATTCTCTAAAGGCTGAGAGGTGAGGAAGCTATAAAAGAAAAATTTGAAGCTAACAGAGGTTAATTCATGAGGTTTGAGGAAAGAAGCGGTTTCCATTATATAAAAGTTCAAGGTGAAGCATCAAGTGCTAATGTCAAAGCTGCAGCATGTTATTAAGAAGATTAGGTTAGTTAATGAAGGTGGCTACACCAAATAACAGACTGTATTGATGAGACAGCCTTTTATTGGGAAAAGATGCCATCCAGGAGTTTCATAGCTAGAGAGGAGAAGTCAATGCCTGGCTTTAAAGCTTCAGAGGACAGGCTGACTCTCTTGTTAGGGGTTAGTGCAGCTGGTGACTTTCAGTTGAAGCCAGTGCTCATTTAACTATTCCAAAAATCCTAGAGCCATTAGAATTATGCTAAATCTACTCTATGTGCTCTAGAAACAACAATGGTTTACTGACTATTTTAAGCCCACTGTTGAGACCTACTGCTTAGAAAAAAAGATTTCTTCAAAATATTACTGCTCCCTGACAATGTACCTGCTCACCCACGAGCTTTGATGGAGGTGTACAATCAGATTAGTGTTGTTTTCATGGCTGTGAACACAAATTTCATTCCGTGGCCCATGGATCAAGGGCTAATTTCAACTTTCAAGCCTTATTTAAGAAATAGATTTTGTGCCCTGGCCGGTTTGGCTCAGTGGATAGAGCATTGGCCTACGGACTGAAGGGTCCCTGGTTTGATTCCTGGTCAGGGCACATGCCTGGGTTGCAGGCTCGATCCCTGGTGGGGGGTGTGCAGGAAGCAGCTGATCAATGATTCCCTCTCATCATTAATGTTTCTCTCCCTCTCCCTTCCTCTCTGAAATCAATAAAAAAAAAAAAATACATTTTGTGACCTGGCCAGTTTTGCACAGTGGTTAGAGCATCAGCCCATGGATCAAAGGGTCCTGGGTTTGATTCATGTACTTCAGATGCAGGTTCCCCAGCCCTTGTTGGGGTGCGTGCAGGAGGCAACGTTGTGTCTCTATCCCATCGATATTTCTCTCTCTCTCTCTCTCTCTCTCTTTCTTTCCCCCCCTTCCACTTTCTAGAAATCATTGGCAAAAATATTTTCAGATAAAGATTAAAAAAAAAATACATTTTGTTAGGTTAGGGGTGCCATAGGTAGTGATTTCTCTGATGCATCTGGGCAAAGTAAATTGAAAACTTTCTGGAAAGGATTCACCATTTTAGATGCCATTAAGAACATTTGTGACTAGAGGCCCAGTGCATGAAATTCATGCACTGGTAGGGTCCCTAGCGGCTGCCGGCTGCCGCCGGGTACTCCCTCCCTTCCCCCGGCCACCTGCCCCCCACCCCTGCCATTGGTCGCCACCTGTGGGGCCCGATCGCCCTGCCACCGCCTGGCTTCCAGGTGCTGAGGGAACAGGGTGGCAGCCCCAACCCCCACTGATGCCGCTGGTCACCGCCTATGGGGGCCCGATCACGCCACTGGTTGCCCTGCAATCGGATCGGTGGAGCATCAGGCCCCTGCCCGGCTCCCTCAGTGCCTGGGAGCCCGGTGGCGGAGGGGTGATTGGCTCCTGCCTGGCGACCAGTGGCTCGCACCTGCCTTGGCCTGGTGCTGCCCACTCACCTGCTCCACCATCCTGCCTCTGTCCAGCTCTTGTCAGGGCCCATCAGGGTCTGTAGCACCTCCACTGCTGCCAGCGCCGCGTCACCAACGCCCACCATGTTCCATGCCGCCCCCTGGTGATCAGTGCACGTCATAGCAAACGGTCGAACTCCCAGTTGAGGGGACAATTTGCACATTAGGCTTTTATTATATAGGATTCATGAGAAGAAGTCAAAATATCCACATTTACAACAGTTTGGAAGTTTATTCCAACCCTCAGGGATAATTTTGAGGAGTTCAAGACTTCAATGGAAGAAGTAACTGCAGATGTGGTAGAAATAGTTAGAGAATTAGAATTAGCCTGAAGATATGACTGAATTGCTGCAATCGTATGATAAAACTTTAGTGGATGAAGAGTTGCTTCTAATGGATGAGCAGAGACCATGGTTTCTGGGGATGGAATCTACTGGTAAAAATGCTGTCAAGAATGTTGAAATGACAAAGGATTTTAGAGTATTATATAAACATAGTTGATAAAGTCAAGGCAGGGTTTGAGAGGATTGACTCCAATTTTGACAGTTCTTTGTGTAAAATGCTACCCAGCAGCATCGCATATGACAAAGAAATTGTTCATGAAAGGGTCAATCCATGTGGCAAACTTCATTGTCTTATTTTAAGAAATTGCCACAGCCACCCCAGCCTTTAGCAACCACTACCCTGATCAGTCAGCAGCCATCAAAATCAAGGCAAGCAAAAAGATTACTACTCACTGAAGGCTCAGATGATGGTTAGTATTTTTATCAGTATAGTATTTTGTAATGTACATTGTTTTTTAGACATAATGCTGTTGTACACTTGGTAGACTATAGTGTAGTATAAACATAACTTTTATATCCACTGGAAAACCAAAACATTATTTGAGTCATTTCATTGCAATATTCACTTTATTGTGGTGGTCTAGAACAGAACCCACAATATTTTGAGGTATGCCTGTATTAAAAAGTGTGAATAATCTAACCCTACTTTTGGGAATAAATGGACTTTTTTTTACCATTGAGTTGGTACCTTTATCTTTGAGCCCATTCCACAATTATGTCTTAATTTTATGGTTCTCACCGTGACCCACATGACATATGTTAAAATTAGGAAGCTGTCAAAAACAGCCATTTGTGCTTTATTGTGAAAACTCAAATAGAGACAAGTCTTGGGAGGGAGTAAAGTTGGTAATGATTGTGGCTTGTAGGTGTTCAGGCAGGATGAAGTGGTGGAAGATTTCTGGATCATGCAGTCCTATTGGGATGCCCTCTAAAGAGATTTCAGACTGCTCCATAAAAGTGGTGGGGAAGGCGAGACCAATGGCTCACTTCTGCTGGTCTTTTGAGTTAAAGGTTAAGGTGCCATGCACTGAGTTATACCATAGCTGGAAAGAATGGATGAAATAGGATATTTAAAAATTTTGTTTTTCATTAATAAATCACTGGTGTCTCGTTTATTTCAGAGCACAAAGTTATCATTGTTGGGCTGGATAATGCAGGGAAAACTACCATCCTTTACCAATTGTAAGTAATAACTACTTTCACATTTTTATTTTATTGTTTACTAGAAGCCTGGTGCACGAAATTCATGCATGGGTAGGGTCCTTAGGCCTGGCCTGCGATCAGGGCCAATCGGGGCCTTCCTTCCCCTGGCTGCCGGCTCCTGGCCGGGGCCTTCCTTTGTTCCGCACCGCCCCCTGGTGGTCAGTGCACGTCATAGCGAGTGGTCGAACTCCTGGTTGGTCAACCTCGCAAAGGGACAATTTGCATATTAGCCTACTATATAATAAAAGCCCAGCGACCATTACAGTGGAACGACCAGAACGACGAGTCACTATGACGCACACTGACCACCAGGGGCAGACGCTCAATGCAGGAGCTGCCCCCTGGTGGTCAATACACAATACACTCCCACAGCGGGAGCGCCGCTCAGCCAGAAGCTAGGCCAGCCGTGGGCAAACTACGGCCCGCGGGCCGGATCCGGCCCGTTTGAAATGAATAAAACTAAAAAAAAAAAGACCGTACCCTTTTATGTAATGATGTTTACTTTGAATTTATATTAGTTCACACAAACACTCCATCCATGCTTTTGTTCCGGCCCTCCGGTCCAGTTTAAGAACCCATTGTGGCCCTCGAGTCAAAAAGTTTGCCCACCCCTGAGCTAGGCTCACGGCTGGGGAGCGCAGCGGTGGTGGCGGGAGTCTCCCTCCTTCGCGGCAGCGCTAAGGAGTGGCGAGCCAAGCGGTAAGGAGCAAGCAGGCGGGTGGTTAGGAGCAAGCAGGCAGGCGGTTAGGAGCAAGGGGTCCCAGATTGCGAGAGAGGGCGCAGGCCGGGCTGAAGGACCCCCCCCCCCCCCCCCCCCCCCATGCACGAATTTTGTGCATTGGGCCTCTAGTTTATTATATAGGATAGTTACTTTTTCTGCCTGAGTGATACTTGATTAATGAAAGCAATAAAAGTTATATGGAATTTAAGTTACTCTAGAGCAGGGGTGGGGAACCGTTTTTCTGTCAGGGGCCATTTGGATATTTATAACATCATTTGAGGTGCGTATAAAATTATCAACTTAAAGATTAGCCTGCTGTATTTGGTCAATAATTAACTCATCCTAATGCCTTGGCAGGGCAAGAGCAAATGATTTTGTGGGCCTTATAGGACCTGCGGGCCAGACGCTCCCCACCCCTACTCTAAAGAGTTGATACTTTTATGACATTGGTTGTTTTGCTTTTAGAAAGTAAAGAAATATGTGTTTATGTAGTTTCCTAGAATTGAATTTAGAGTATCTCAGATAGTCCTCTACCTAGTTCCCCCTCTGTTTAACCCTTTTCGGTCCAACGTCGAGGCTGACTCGACAGACCAGGCGCTAGGAGCAGGTCCAACGTCGAGGCTGAGGTCGACACTGCAAACCGGTTCAACATTCAATCCCGTCAATTAATTTGGACCAGACTGTTTGAATTCCAAAAATAAAATTGGACCGCAAAGGGTTAAACCCTTAGCTCACTCTTATGAGCTACTGGAAAAGGGACATTTGGGTATAATATATAAAAGGAGGTCATACTGACTGGTCCTTTGATTGAAAAATATTCAAACAATCTAACTTTCTAGCTAATTGTAACATTTTCAAATTATTTTTTTTTTCAGTTCTATGAATGAAGTTGTACATACATCCCCTACAATAGGAAGTAATGTAGAAGAGATAGTGATTAATAATACACGATTTCTAATGTGGGATATTGGTGGCCAAGAATCTCTTCGTTCTTCCTGGAACACTTACTATACTAACACAGAGGTAATGTTTCTTTCTTTCTTTCTTTTTTAATTTAAATTCTTTATTGTTTAAAGTATTACATATGACTCCTCCCCCCCCCCCCCCCCCCACCCCCCTCCCTGCCCCCCCCCCACCATTGACCTCTCCCCGATGTTCCTTATTATATTAGAACTTCTATGAGCAGAAGGCTTGGGAAACACCTTCTAGATATGAACTCTTATAGTTAATCTTTTCGAAATATCACAGTATGTTAATAGAAGTAGATTTTAAACATTGTGGAATCTTTGATTCCCTATTTCAGGGTCATTATATCCACTCTCATTGAACCTCTGTAAGGAGAATTGGTAGTTGATTAGTCTGATTATGTATTGATCCCAGAACTTAAGTAGTTGTTTTTATAATGAATTCCATCTCACAGTTTGTAATATCATTTCTTTTTTACTATTTATTTTTGTGTAGAAGAAAACTAGGTAAAATCTGGTGGTTTCAGTCCTGACCCAAATTTTACCATATATTTTATTTTATGCAACACAATTGCACATTAAAGAATTTTTTTCCTTTTGGTTCTCAAGCAATTTAGACAAAACCATGTTTTTATTTCCCAAGAGGAAATGTCAGACCAGTGACATTTCAGACCTTCATTGTATACACCTTGCAAATTGAAAGCCTGTGACAGTTGCTTTTATAGTGCTGATTATAAGTTAATAAAATTCCAAATGTATACCAAGGTGAATAATGTCATTAGACACAATTAAGTGTTTCTAATGACCTGATCCCCTAACACTCCATAATGCATTTGATCGTGTATTTTGTGTGGTTTTTTTGGAGAAAGAAAGGTAGATATGGTTACTATTCCTAAATATAACGCTGTAGGTATCAAATTCATGGCAACCCTTTGAAAATTAATAGCTTTATTAAAGTACCTTGGAATAGAATGAGTCTGGCAGTAATAAAACCACTTATCAGTGAGGTTTCAAGTGAGAGAAGAGGTAAAATAGTAGTTCTCTTATCATTATGGTTCCTGAAATCTGTAGAATAGAAAAGACTGAAAATTACAGTGGTTTATTTGGAAATGAAAGGCTAGTTCTAAAAAATGAATAGTGCATGTTAATAATAGGCAGTCAGAATTAACTCGGGCATCACAAATGCCATCGTAAAGTGACTATATCTGCTCCCGTTTCCCTTTTGGTGGGCGTGGCATTAGGAACAGGTGCAGTGCAGTGCAGTCCTGTACAGCCCCTTCACAGGTTTTTCATTGCATCTTCTGCTACTAGTCTTACCAGTTCAGGAGAGAGTTGTGCTTGCCAGTAGCAGGTACCATTTATATAAGGAAGAGAGCATGGCTTTAGCTATAGATTTGTTCTTGCAATTTGTTGATTTTAACTGTCATGTTACTTTACTCCCAAACCCATTCCCTTTTGGATTTTCAAATTGATATTAATATAATAAAATAAAAACTGTCTAAAAGTAACTTAAGTTTATGACCGTAATATATTTTTTCTTGACTTATAGTGTAAATAGATGGATATAGTCTTGTTAGCATTCAAAATATTGTTAGGAAACAAATGTGTTTTATTGGTTAAAATATTAGCGGTATATTCTCATAGTATGTTAGTATGTGTTCTCTTTTCTCCTGTTTTTCTCTTAAAATTTAGTAAATATATTTGAATTCGAAATGGATCAGACCTTTAGGCTTTATGATGTGTATATAGTAGGTATCTCTGGTTTTCCAATAATACCATACCATAAGGTTCTAATTTCTTGATAGTTATAGCCTGTAAATCAAATCAGCACTTCATAAATTTTACAATATATAAAATTACATAATCATTAATGACTTTTTTGTAATTCTTTTAGTTTGTAATAGTTGTTGTGGACAGTACAGACAGAGAAAGGATTTCTGTAACTAGAGAAGAACTCTATAAGATGTTAGCCCATGAGGTAAGTAGGACTCTGGCATAAGATGTGTCTATGGGATATTTCTGTCACATTTCTTCTTTCTACTTTTCAGGAGGATACTATTTCAAATGAAAAAAAAGTTATTTATCTGCTGGCCATGCCTGCTTTATAATTTTGACACTTCTCAAATTGGAAGTGTATCTGCATTTGTAGAATCTTATTTCATGTATCCCAGATAAATTTGGTGTAGAAGTTTTCCTGAGTAAAAAGACCTAAATTGGCTTTCCTTTTACATTTTGAATAAATTAATTATAGGGAGGATTATCATTGGAAATGAAATTTTAAAGTCTCACAGACACATAGCAAGTCTTGATTGTAACTCATTTGTTAGACTAATATTTAAATATGGTTGCTCTTAGGTTTCTCCGATATTGTCCTTTGACTAAACAAACTATATGACTCTCCACATTTCGAAGTCCTTGAGAAATATTACTGGTAGCATAATTTAAAAATTGAATAAACTGAATAATATAGTCAGTAATGATAATAGTAACTATAATACCACATAATATTTACTATAGTGGCAATTGATTATATTTTTATGATTTTTATTGCGGATGGAATAAATTTATTTATAGATGGGAATAGGAAAATGAATATTTAGATGTGTGTTATATAATTTTAGTGGAATTTTAATAAAGCTTAAAAATCTGGGATATCTTTATAACAAAGTTTTATATTTGAATATTGATTTGATGATTTGCATTAAGAATTTTGGTATGTTTCAGGCAACTGTTCAAGACTTAAGAAAGCTAGTAAAGTTGTTATGTAAGTTGAACTTCCTGTTTTCCTTGTGATCATGCCCACCAAGATGCACTTTCCCCTGTTTTAGACTGATTCGAGCAGCTGTGTTAAATCCCTTGAGTTTTTGTGTTTTTTTAAAAAATGCATCTTGCTTTTGTGCGTGCACTTAACAAGTTGCGATTCTACTTTGTGAAACAATCTATAAAAGAGGCAGAACACTAAGGAGTTTTTTCATTTCCCCTTTGTATTTTACAAAAATATGTTTTTTCAGGATATACCAAAGAGTTGTTTTATGTTCTATGAAGACTTTGGAAAAAGAAAACTAAGACACACATATTTGTCTTAGCTCAATTTTTTACCCTGTTAACAGGCAGCCTCCCTATTTGATTCTTACTCTGATTGGCCAGTTATGTAAGCAGGATCAGTAGAAAGTAGTAGCGCTCAAACAAAGTCACTGAATTTTACTTGTTGGAGCCATTAACTTGGGCAGGTCAATATGTGACCTAACCAGCTTTTTAAGAGCCAGGCTTTGAATTTAGGCATTTTCATCATTCTTGCTCTTGCTGAGGGTGGGGAGTGAGGGGAGTGGGGGACAAAAATAGGGCATAGTTGGAAAATGAAAGGAAACTGAATGGGGAGATTACCAGAGAAGAAAGGAATTGCAGATGAAGTTGAGAACTAGAGTAAGTCACTTAAAAGGGTCCAGAAGAGCCAAATAGAATTCTGGAGGGGAACAAATGGATCAAAGAATAAGATGTATTAATGAAAAACAAATTTTCAGTGGGGTTAGTCAGATGTTTCATATCACAATCACCAACAGAATTTTATCACCATCACTGATAATAATTCTTTACATGCATTACTAAATACAGAGCTATAAAATGTTTTTCCAGTATTACTGAAAGCTTCATCTTAAATGAAGTGCAAAACTTAGAAGCTCATGAATTTTAAAATAGTTCCAAATACAAAAGGACAGATGAAATTTTATTCAGAATGACTCAATTTCTAGGAATTATCTTCACAAATGAAGCTTTGAGGAAAAAATTGACAACTACATATGGCATATAGAAGATGCTAAGTAAATATATCTTGCATGTGCTATTACTCATCTTCTTGACTAAACTGAAATGAGTTTTTTGACTTTTAAGACCAGAAATCTGTAATATGTAGCAGAAAGTTTTTTAAAGTGCTTAAAATGGCTGATGAATAAAAGATCACAGCTGTTCACCTTGTACTTTGACCTCTTGTTAAGTCAAGTTGATGAACAGCCTTAATCCTATATAACTTTTTACTGTTATCATAAGGCATAATTCGTGCTGAATAATAAAAAGTAAAGGACTATTTTCTTTGCTCTCTTCCTAAGTATTTAAAAATAGGTAATATAGCTGCTGTTGTTTTTTTTAATTAAGAACCCCAAGTAAAAAAATTTGAGCCTATAAGATCTAGAAAAATTATATTCAATATGGGGTTTTTCAGTGTGTTTTTGAGACCTTTCAATAAAAAGGCTTTATTTCTTATCATTTCAAATTGTAGTCCAGGGGCTTCTCCAAATAATTTAATCACTAGAAGTGAGGAATATAGATTACTTATAAATAAGGTAGTATAAATTTATGTTTCCTAAATTGTGCCAAGTTATTTCTGTTGTCAAAATTTTGTTCTTAGAATGTGCCAGCATTACCAATCCTGACCTATATAAAAGGTTTCAACAGACACTAGCAAGAGATATTGAAACCTGGAAGATAGGAAGATAGGAATTAAATCCATGGAAAGTCCATCTACTCAGTGATTCAGCCACATATCAACTATTGATGCTGTTCCATTTCCATTTAAGATAAGAGAAAAAATTATCTGTATCCTTGATAATGA